TATTTTAAAGGCCCTTAATGGTTCATTATTCATAGTTGCGAAAACAATCTCTGGAAAATTATCTTCTGTGTTTACTACTCAGATAGCCACCTGAGCAGAGATACACTCTGATACAAAAACCAACAGAGTCCTCTAGCGGCTACTAAAATTTTGGCATAAAATTCGCATTAGCTGGGTTTTTTTAAAGGTTTTATTTCATTTGAAAACAACGTCAGCAGTGGGTGAGAGACAGGGACTTCTCTTTTCTTGAAAAAGATACATGAAATGTGAAAGTTAACAACATTAAATCTTTTCCTAAAATGTATAATTAACAAATTTCAATTTTTTTTCCTTCACACTTTTATATATTGTTTAGAAATTGTATAGCATTGTTTTTAAAAAAACAGGTTAACCTTAGACTGCATGTTGATTAAATCAGCTGTTTCATGCTGTTCTGAGATACAATTACATGCGCTATTACACAGACTCAATGGTGCTTCATACCACTCACTTTCATACAATTTCATTTCTGATTTTCAACATGCTACTGGGAAAAAAACCCCATGAAATCTCTTATCCAGCCTGTATTACTCTACAGGTTACTCTTTATAAGCAGGTAAATGTTATCTGAATACAAGGTAAAGAAAGAAACTGAAGAGACTGGAAGTAACTGACATTTTTTTCTACGAGATCATGGTCTACAAACTTCAAATGTTCATAACTGTAATCTTGCAATGAGCTTCAAAACTCAACTATTATCTATCATACTCAGACTTATTTGAGCAGGGAGAACCCTGAACACAGATATAAAGCATTTAGCAAATAAACCAATAGCAAAATGAGCAAAATAAAGTCTGGACACAGTGACTACATAAGCAACCCCTGTCAAGGGGTATCTTTCACTAAGCAATAAAATGTACTTCTCAATCACCAGCATTCTATACATATTTGAAGTTTATATCCCACACAATGTAAATTACAATGATATCAAGTACACAAAGTCCTTACACTGCATCTGAATTACTACTTAATTCCTCCGAGCCTTTAGTAGTAGGAATATGTAAGCTGCTCTGCCAAAGGCGTACAGGAATAAAGGAGCACCACTAATCAGAACAGAGCCACATGAAAATAAACAGTGGGGGGTTACTGTGTGTTTAGTATGTTTTTTAAACATGCAGATGACATTGAACCCCTGGAGAATAATCACCTCTCCAATATCGACATGTGTACCTCATTTCCTCCAGTCCCAAAGACAACCTGCTGAAACCCTGCAATTCTCCTCCGTACACCTGCATCTTCTCAGCCTACCATGCAGTTTAAATGAATAAATGGATTCAAACACCTCTAAAGATTTGGTACTGTGCATTTGCACAATGTCTTTTGAAAGGCTGCACATTATAGCACAAGCCCAGTTTGACTCCCTATCCACGGAAAACACTGCCTATACCTCTTTAAGCAAGACAGCCCACAACAAGATACAGGAACCAAGTACCAAGTGCCACAAGAAGAGCAAAAAGTTTGGGTTTAGTTTTCTTTTCAAAGCCTGTGATGCTTGATCTGAGCTTTAAAGAGAAAAATATCATATCCCACTCTCAACCAGATACTCCACAACTCCCTTTTGCTAATACTGCTTTTGAAGACATACATTTTGTAGCATCCTGTACTACAGAGAAATGATCTTTCCTGAGGCCAATCAACTTGCCTATTCAACATATTTACTGTTTTGGATGTTGAATACAGATAATAAATAACTGAAGCATCAGCAAAATTATGCACAATATGAAATATAGAACTTTTTTATCTAGAAATTCTCCTGATCCTAGCTAGTATGAATTAACCTGTTCTTAGGTGGCTTATGTATTTTTTCATAGTAAGAACCTCGTATTTTAAACAAAATTAAAAAAAAACACCAAAAAACCACCAACCACTCATCACTATCAGGCTAAGCTTTCACATTACTTCATACAGTAGTGATCACAACCATTTTTAAAAACAACTTCAGCTGAAACGCTTTACTGAGGCAACCACAACCCCACTACAGGCCATTTTCATCCTGAAGCTTACTAAATAGGACAGAGGTCATAACAGTTGCTTGCTACGGAAAAAAACATGCAGAAAAATACATGGAAAGTCGTAAGCAAGAAAGCTGCTCCCAAGACATGGCTCAGAAAATGTTACTTCTAGTGTGCAGGTGATTTGTAAAACCAATACACTTTTAATTCTTCCACTAGAAGCCTGACCATGCAGCTACCCACAGCAGCTTCCAAAAAAAAGCCCAAGAAACATTCCCAGGGTTCCAAAGCCTTAAAACTGGGAACCAATGTGTTGCAACACAAACAGATGGGAAAATCTATCTACTGACCTGCTTGTATTGAGCTTGAGTGCAAGCTCAGTACAAACAACTTGATGTTGAATTCAACTTGATGTTGAATGGACACCAAACTCAGTGGTCATTCAGTATCAAAAAGTAACCCAAAGGATTCACTAGGAAACTTCTCAAAATCGTTAAAGGTGCTTTGACAGTTTGCATCACAAATCTATTTCTTAAAAAAAATCTACCTAATGGTAGCCCCCTTCTCAGTTGGGTTTCACTCATTTTTTAAATTGAGCTTTAATAGACCAGACAACACAGAAAGTAGTTGCCCTTCCTATCTTGCTCTAGAACACTGTTGCTGCTCACTGTCTTTTTCTTTTCTTTGCCTTGTCTCCTCTCTGCGTTCAGAATGGGGAAAGCAAGATAACATCACTACTTTGGTTGTTTGTTGTATAGGTTTTGGCTTTTAAAGTGTCAAGCACATATGAAAACACATAAGACAACTTCACAAGAAGGATTACTCATAGAACTATCAGTAACTAGACTATAGCCAACCCTTCCCCAAATGTTCTGTTTCTGCAGCCAGCAGAAGTCCTCTTAAAGAGCTCCAAAACTAAATACTAATGGATTTATGATAAAAAACAAGAAACAGCCTTGAGTGCCTTGAGACTCTTCAACCCAGTAAGAACAAGAGGCCATGAAGTATCACTCTACAAGAAGCACAAGTTCCCACTCAGGGTATGACTTAGTGTGCACTCATCAGCTGAAATACACCTTCCATCTTTGTTACCCAAGTATTAGGCTGCAAAGTTCGTTTGGGAAACTGATTTGAATGACTAGAAATGCCCAAAAAGTAAAAACTTAGGCTCTCTTCAGAGTTAAAGGGATAATACCAGATATTTGACCATAATCTTGGAATATTCACCTTGTAAAAACAATTGAAATGCTATTTGCTTTGCAAGCTTAGCTAAAGTAGTCTTTCTGCAGCTTTGTAATAGAGACACTTGAGATTATGCAAGCATACAGCATATCAGTTATACTGTATTTTCAAGGGGGTGCAGAGGATCACGATATAGCTCCTAATAAAGAAAACCCCAACATTTTAATTAAAGAGAACAAAATATGCACACAGATGCCTAAATTAACTGTGATAAGTAATCTTTTTCAACTTCAAAGACTGAAACTTTGCAGTCTTCAAAGACCACTTAAAGTAAGCCTAGGCAATCACAAAATATAACTTGTACCTACCTTTTTCAAACTAGTATAAATTTAAAAACTACTTCTCCAGGTTTACAGAATAAATAAAATGTGTCGTCCCAGCCACCAATTCAGCATGTCTTCTGATGCACATCAGGACACTCATAGATTGTTAATAATTCACAGACTGAAAGACTATATAAGCAGAAGAACTCTACAGGCTCGATGCCTAGCACCACCCATTAATCCAACTTACACTTTGAGCCCCGGTGAGTCCTCAGTGTAGAATCGCCACATCCCACCAGTACCTGTGGATGTGGCACGGCCTGCACTCCTTGTCCCGCAACTGGCATTCTTCCTTTAAGGGACAACAGAATGAAACAAAGACCAAACAAAACACATTAGTAGTCTGCCGGTTTCTAGCACCAAGCACCCCAAAGAGACTCTGCAGAAGCAAGACACTTCACAAATCATTTAGGCTGGAAATGACCTCCGAGATCATCCAGTCCAACCTATGACTGAACACCACCATGTCAACTAGACCACGGCACTGAGTGCCACATCCTGTCTTTCCTTAAACACCTCCAAGGACGGTGACTCCTCATCACCTCCCTGGGCAGTCCATTCCAACATCTAACGTCTCTGTGAAGAAACGTTTCCTAATGTCCAACCTAAAGCTTCCCTGGAGCAACTTAGGACTATGCCCTCTCCTCCCGTCACTCCGCTGCATGGGAGAACAGGCCGATCCCCAGCTGGCTACCACCTCCTTTCAGGCATGAGTAGAGAGCGATGTCACCCCTGAGCCTCCTTTTCTCCAGGCTAAACAACCCCAGCTCCCTGAGCTGCTCCTCACAGGGCTTGTGCTCCAGACCCTTCACCAGCTCCGTTGCCCATCTCTGGACTTGCATCAGCCGGTGCTACCACGTAAGCAGAGGGCACCAGCCTGGGCAGCCAGGAAAGCAGAGGGCACGACGGAGGGCAGAGCCGCGGCGGGCACCCACCTCTGCCGGACAGTGGATCCCGCGGCGCGGGGAGCCACAGCCTTGCTGGGGGAGCGGCCGGAGGAGCCGACGCTGGTGGCGCTGGGGTTGGGCCCGGGCTGCGGAGAGAGGAGAGAACCAGGAGAGGGTGAGAGGCGGTGGGCACGGCCGGGGGGAGCAGGGGCGCCCCAGCCGCCCCCCGCCTCGGGCAGCCCCTCACCATGGCTGCGGCGCTGGCTGGGGGTCGGCGCCGTCTCACACACTCTCGGCTGCGGCAACTCCGGCCACGTCCCTGCCCGCTGCAGGCTCCGCCCCCGCGCCGCGCATCCCGGCGCCGCGCGGCTTCCCAGGATAATGCCTGAGCAGCACCGGCCCCTTATCCCTCTCCCCCTCGCTCAGCTGCCGCTTCCCGAGCGCGCTGCCCCCGCGCCACGGCTCGGCCGCGCCCGCCCTCCCGCAGCGGCCGGACCGGAGCGGCACCAAGCGGAGCGACGGGCCGGGCAGCGCGGCGGGCGCCCGGCGGGCGGGGCGGGCGGGAAGGCCCGGCAGGAAGGCTGACGTGTCCCGCCGGGACTGCCGGGCCGCGCATGCGATCCCACCCGCGCGGCCAGCGCCATGGAGGAAGAGGAGGCGGGCGGGGACGGCCCGTCCGTGCTGTTCCTGCACCCGGACCTGGGCCTGGGCGGCGCGGAGCGGCTGGTGGTGGACGCGGCGCTGGCGCTGCGGGCGCGGGGCTGCCGGGTGCGGATCTGGACGGCGCACTACGACCCGCGGCGCTGCTTCGCGGAGACGCGGGGGCTGGCGGTGCGCTGCGCGGCAGGGTGGGTGCCGCGCTCGCTGTGCGGCCGCGGGCACGCCCTGTGCGCCGCCCTGCGCATGGCCTGCCTGGCCCTCTACGTGCTGCTGCTCAGCGGGGAGAGCTGCGACGCCTTCGTCTGCGACCAGGTGCGGGCACGGGCACGGGCAGATGGTTCACAGTGCCACAGAATTCTTAGCGGTGGAAAGGACCTGTGGAGATCACCCCCCCCCCCCGTGTCCAACCCCGCCGTGCCCAGGCAGGGTCACCTAGAGCAGGGATGGCCCACGGGAATGAGCCCGGATGGGTTTGTGAGAGTGTCCCTGACTCCAGGAGCTCCCCGGGCAGCCTGTTCCAGTGCTCTGCCACCCCCGGCGCAAAAGAAGTTCTTCCTCACGCTGAGGTGGGACTTCCTGGGTTTTGGTTTGTGGCCGTCCTCGTCCTGTCGCTGGGCACCACTGAAAAAAGCCTGGCACCGTCCTCTTGGCATCCACCGTGGAGATGTTCATATGCATTAATGAGATCTGCACTCAGTCTCTCTTCATAAGAGAGATGCTCCAGACCTCTGGAACATCAAATCCCTACAAAATCGGATTCGTTGCATGATGTGGAACAAGCCAATAATTAGACATGAGAGAGAGATTCAGAAAGACATTGATTGTTTATTTCAGAGTTGTGCAAGGCTGGCTGCTCGATGGTGTTTCCACAAATCAAGCTCATTCCATCAGGCTTTCCTCACCATTATTTATACAGAGATTCAGAGTTAGTCGCTTTCCAAGTGCAGCTCCTCAGTTATGGTTGGTTAGTAATTTCAGCAGTTAAGGACAGTGAAGCTGATGAAGACTCTGGAGCACAAGTCCTTTGAGGAGCAGCTGAGGGAGCTGGTGATGTTTAGCCTGGAGAAAAGGAGGCTCAGGGATGACCTTATCACTCTCTACACTTACCTGAAAGGAGGTTGTACCCTAGTGGGAATCAGCTGTTCTCCCAGGCAGCAAGCGGCAGGATGAGAAGGCATAGTCCTAAACTGCACTAGGGAAGGTTTAGGCTGGACATTAGGAAGAATTTCTTCCCAGAAAGGGTGATTAGATGTTGGAATGGACTGCCTGGAGAGGTCACTGGAGGTGTTCAGGGAAAGACAGCATGTGGCACTCAGTGCCATGGTCTAGTTGACATGATGTTCAGTCATAGGTTGGAGTCGATGATCTCAGAGGTCTTTTCCAACCTAATTGATTCTGTGATTCCATACAAGTTACATTACCCCAGCTAACTTCTATGCATGCTCAGGGAAAGATCTTCACCTGGGTAGGGATCTTTTTGTCTTATAGGCATGATTTTTAGTATTATAATGAACACAATAGTTCACCTGTAGGATACATGGACCTTGAGTATTTTGCCATGTTAGCAATGACATAAACATAACAATGACAATGACATAGACATCCATGAATATCTTGATTTCCTACAGCCTTAAGGCTTGTTAGTTCCAGGATGTCCTTGAGTAAGGGATTCCAGCTGCTATCTGTTCTACTCTCCTGCAAAAACATCTTAATTTACTACATCCATAAAGCTTGTTAGTTCGAAATGTCTTTGCACTAAGGGATGCTGGCTTGTGCCTGTTATATTGATTAGGTCTCCATTCTTTCTGATTAGGCTTGAGAGTATACAAAGACCTTACATCAAAGAACGTCCTCACCTAAGATAACCTTGACATATTCCACATTTTGCAACACTCTTGCATTCTGGGGCAGCTGGAGGGAGGATGCCACTGCAGCTTGGGCTCCATTCCCAGCTCCCCTGGTAGTGGCAGGAGGAGGTGCATGGAGAAGTCCTGAGGCTTGGTGGGGCCTGGGTGGGGAGCAAGGTGCCTTGTCTTTGTGAGGAAGGAGATCTAGGGCCTCAACAAGAGGTCCTGGGTGAGGGAGTGCAGGTTGATGTGCTTGTGGAAGGGAGAGGGAGAAGGCACTTGGCTTGCAAAGGACTGGCCCTCAGGGCGTGGGTTTGAAATCACGCATATGCACCGGTAGCACTAACACCAATAATTAAATGTCTCCTCTTGTCCTGTCTCTTCCGGTTGCATTAGGTGTCTGCTTGCATTCCCATACTGAGACTGGCCAGAACCCATAAGAAGGTTTTGTTTTACTGTCACTTTCCTGACCAGCTTCTGACCACGAGAGAATCTTTCCTGAAGCGTCTCTACAGATGGCCACTGGACTGGCTGGAAGAGTACACGACTGGCATGGCAGACTGTATTGTTGTGAACAGCAAGTTTACTGCCAGCGTGTTCAAAGACACATTTAAGTCCCTGTCTCACATAAACCCAGATGTCCTCTACCCATCACTCAACATCAGTAGCTTTGAAACAATCGTTCCTGCAGACATAGCTGACCTGTTACCGATGAAAAAGAAGTTCTTGTTTCTTTCCATTAATAGGTATGAGAGAAAAAAGAATCTAGCATTGGCTCTTGAAGCTTTGCACGAACTTCGAGGAAGACTTGATTCTCATGACTGGAATGAAGTTCACCTGGTTATGGCAGGTGGTTACGATAAACGAGTTCTGGAAAATGTGGAGCACTATGAAGAGCTGAGAAGACTTGCAGCCAAGCTTGGTGTTCATGAGCACGTGACTTTTCTGAGATCGTTCTCAGACGAACAGAAAATCTCCCTTTATAGTAACTCTGTATGTGTGCTTTATACACCGAGCAATGAACATTTCGGCATTGTCCCTTTGGAGGCAATGTATATGAGATGTCCAGTTATAGCAGTTAATTCAGGTGGTCCTTTAGAATCAATCTTGCATAATGTTACAGGATTTTTGTGTGATCCTCAACCAACCCAATTCGCTGAGACAATGGAAAAAATTGTGAGAGATCCTCTCTTAAAGGACGCAATGGGAGCAGCTGGGAGAGTGAGAGTTATGGAAAAATTTTCCTCAGAAGCTTTCTCAGAACAGCTGTACCAATACATTTGCAAATTAACAGAATAAAATTATATTCCTATATTATATTTTACAACTTTGTATCTCTCATTTGTGTAGGGGACCAGTATTCATTGTAACTATGATGAGGAACCGGGGATGTCTGAATTTCCTTGTTGAGTTGCTTATGCTGCCTTATGTCACTTGGGACAAAGAACGAGCAAAGCATGTTACACTGTCTCATTAGAAGGTTAAAATTTTCATGTGGTAAATTGATCTGCCATTGCAGGAGTTCTTTTGTGTACTGTGCCTTGGAAAAATGCGTTATTAAATGGCAGTAACTTCCTAGGAAGTTACTGCATGTTTTACTTTATTACTGTATGGTATGGTATGGTATGGCTGATTCAATTTCCAAAATGTGGATTTGTACAGATAAGACATGCACAGCTTTATGTATTTAAAATGTTAATCAGTAATTCTTAAAGAGTTGTCTTAGCTGAACTGAGAGAATTGCACAGTCCAACCAACTACGTGTTTTAAAAAAACAACACCATTAGGAATATGAATGGTATGGCTTTAAAATGATTGGCCTCTTACTGTATTTGTCAGATTGCATCATGTAGTCACACAGGGTGTCATAAAAAAATATCCAGGTGTGTGAGCAGAAGGAAGTTGAGACTCGAGTAACATCAAGGATATCAGACTACCTCAGGCAAAAACGTTAGTGCTGATATTCTGTTTGTTCGATAGCTGCAGTGCTTAAAGGTGTAATTTTACTTTGAGAATTTCTGGTTTGTGGAGACTGAAGTGATAACCCCTATATTTAACATTTCATTTTTAATGACAGCACACTTTTGAAAAATGTCTTAATCTGGAGCAGGCAACAAGGACATTTTATTTTGCTTAACTTAGTGGTAACTTGAGGTTATCCTAATGCAGTGAGTGCACATGTGACAGTAATGTGATTTCCTCCCCCCCCACCAAGTGTAATAGTTGGTTTGGGGCAAGGAATATCTTGATTTTTTTTTTTATTTGGCTATCTACCTCTCTTTTAGAACATCTTTATTAGTTGGTTGTTCTGTTTGGTTATGACACTCTTATATAATCCACACAGTTGAATTTCAAGTCTGAAAATAGATTGAGTAACTGCAGTTTCCTCATTCTTTGAAATCCAGTGTTATCTATAAAATACAATTTGTAGTCTAATATGAAATACAATCTTCAGTTTCTATTTAAGGTAGTTTTGGGCATTTCCACATTTAGTACTTCACAACAAAGAGACCATTCTTTCTGTTACTTAGAACTGCAACCCAGGTCTTAGTGTATTATAAGGCCTTATAAGTATAATTATAAGGCCTTTATTTGAAGTAAAACAAACAAAAATCCACAAACAGAATTTGTCTTTGTCTTTAATCAGGAAGTTGGAATACTATAATTCTTATTCATTATGGAGTAGGAGCAGGTGGTCTCACAGGCCCTATTTCCAACTATTCTGTTTATGTCAGAAGAACTGGCAAGCCTGAATTCTATCATCTTTCTTGCCTGTTCCTGCATTTCTGCTCCTTCCTCACCCCTTAACAGTTTTCCTAAATCTTTGTGCAACTTTTACAGGATGGGTGTAGCAATGGGTGACTGAAGGACCTGGAGAGACAGCGTGAAAACAATCTGTGGTCAGATGAACGCCCTCAAGACATAGTTGGTCTGGGTTTTAAGCTCAAGAGAAAAGGTGCAAGATGGCTGGGGCCAATTCCTGCTGTTGCTTAGTTACATTCTTCTCTCCTGATTGCACTGGAGTTAACCTAGAGCCTAAGATACGCGCCAGTGCACCTCACCAGTGTAGCTGCAAGGGGTTGCTCCATTTCTGCTCCACCCTTGGCCTCCAGCCCTTTCCTGAGCTGTGCTCCTGGCAGGCATGTGCCTAACCCTGTACCCTGCAGCTTCTGTTCACTGGATTTCATGGATTGAACTTAGACTTGACCTGCCATCTCACATTTACCTGGTGATCCCTGGGACTGTCAACAGCTGTTACTGTCACCAGGCTGTCCTACTTGGGTCCTGTGCCCTGGTCGGTGAGATCACTGTCCTGTGATGTGATCTCCTCCAGCTTTTCACTGTCATCCCTTGCAGAGCAGCCGCAGTCTTGCTGCTTCGTGGCAGGTAGCATGGGCCACCTCAAGTCCTTGGCTGACTGTGATGGAACCTGGCCTTCAGGCTCTCCAATCAGCTGCAGGTTAACCTCGAATTCCTGCGGAATGCTATGATCAGTATGTAGAGGTGTGACACAGCACTGCAGGCGGCTTCAAGATCTCTTGCTCCCCATCTTGAGAAAACTCAGTAAGAGATGTCCCTGCCCATGGCAGAAGGGTTGGACTAAATGGTGTTTAAATGTCCATTCCAACCAAACCATTCTATGGTTCTGTGGTTACTAAGTGGTCGCAGAACCATTCAGTGGAGAGCTTGCAATTGTATTAGAATTTATTTGTTAGATGTGGCTAATCTTTACAGCCTATCAAGGTGCTGTATATCCCAAGGGACATTAGGTGCTCAGCAGCAGTAATCTCCCAGAGCAATCTGCGAGTGGATTGTGGCCATGTGGAAGACAATGGCCCTGTGGTCCAAAACCAGATGACTTACTGCTTTGAAGCAGTTTTTGGAGGGACCACAACTGTGCAGTGGCCTGGCACACCAAAGTGCTGGAGCTCCATCAGGAGAAGTAGCTGGCCACTAAATACATTAATCAGTTGACTCTGGAAAATGTGTCTGAAGAGCAAGGGCTCCTTAGGGCCCTTTAAAGTCTGTGTCTGTATGTGACCCTCAAAATGAGATGGCTAGGACTGGCCTACCCCAGAGCCTGGGGCAGTCTACCAGGCTGGCCTGTCACTGGAGAAGCACCTGTCTCTGTCAGGAAGAGTATACGTAGATCTTTGGAAGATCTCCATCAGGTTTTGCTCCACCTTCCATACTGTCTGCAGAGGAGGGGGATATGGATGTAGGCACCATCCACCTCACTCAGCCCAAGAATGAGAACACAGATGGGGAAAATGTGGTTGCTTTATTATGGTAGAAATGGCAACTGTGTTGTCAGTTGCATCAACAAACTGCCTGCTTTGACAGTCACTTGGTGCAGGCACATATGAGGCAGCTGGTGTGGCTGGCAGACTTCTGGGTTGGAAACCAAAGTTAGTGACAGTTAGTGGACAATTAAATTGTGGAGAGAGGGAAGTCTATCAGAGAAGGTGAGGAAAGCAGCAACTAATCCCTCAGTTGTATTCCGGTAGTAGGTCAGCACCACTGTTGGTTCTGCTGCTGCCTCAAGAGTGCGCTACCACTCCTCGGAGCCAGCTTTGGTTTTCAAGTGCTTTTTATCTCAGATGTCGTAATTCCTATTTGTGGGAGTGATCTGCCCAGAGGAAAAAAAATGTACGGGTCATGGCTCCTGCTTTGGACCAGATTCTGGGAGAGTATGACCCCTATGGCCCAGAGACATTTGCTTCCATAATGAAATCCCAGACCTCAGCAGGACAGTAAGGCAAGCTGTGGTGAATGGCTGTCCCTCATGAGCTGCGTGTGCTTCTCATGCCCATGGGAACTGAGGCCCCTTTCAAGTAGATGCTGTTATGAGAGCCATGATACTGGAAAACCCTCTTATGAATCGTCAAAAGCAGTTGGCAAATTCTAACACACTGCACTTCCTGCGTGCTGGAAGGGTACAAACAGAAAACTGCTTTCTGAACCAGATACAGGTACTATGAGGATCCTGTGATACCTTTTCGTCTCCCCTGTCTCTGACCACCTCCATCATTTTGTACATAATGAGCTGCAGAGCCTTCTTGATAACTGAGTAGTGACATTCTTACATTCTTGGCATCTTCATGTCCTCCAGTGCTCAAGAGGCACACCACGTATGCCAGGGAAGCCTTAGTCTCTTGCAGCAGTGGTGATTCCATATCAACACCCAGAGACTGACTCTTCAACAGCACAGGATGGAGTTCCTGGGATACCTAGTGGACCTCAATTGCTGGCATGTTAGTCCCAGATAGTTTGAAAACACCTTAAGCTGGCAGGTTCCTGTGAAGGAGGAGGAACCTCCATACGTCTTTTTAACAAAAAATATGGAATACTGGCAGCTGAGGTAGTGTGGCAGAACAAGAGATTAAATCTATGGTTGTCCTTAAATGTTTTCAGATTATGTCCTGTGACTCATATTTTTATGTTCTCTTTAGCGTCTCTTTATCTAGTCTCATACTGCCGTAGAATCATAGATTGGTTTGGATTGGAAGAGGTGTTAAAGATCATCTAGTTCCGACACCTCTGTCATGGACAGGGTCACCTTACACCAAACCAGGTTGCTAAAAGCCTCATCCAACCTGGACTTTCCATATTGCTGTTTTAAAGACCCACACATGAAAACAAAGTTTTAAGTTTACAGAAGAAAGAGACTTTTTGTTTCAGAAATGCTTAGCTAGTTCCTTATTTTATGACAGCGTAGCTTTGTTTCCTCTCTACTTCCTTTCCTCCTCTCTGGAAATCTGACAAGAATTGTGATTATGAACATAGAGTCTACGATGTCCTTGTCAGTGACAAGCTACCTGTTAATTGAATGGAAGCAGCTCCATCATGAGAGAACAGTAAGTATCCCCATCTTTTACTAGTTAGCATGTTCTAGGGTATTTCAAGTACAACACAAGAAAACAAAGCTGATCAGTGTCAAGTTTCCAAAAAGGCAGGTTTTTAAACAGTTATTATTTGTAACTCTTTGGAACCTGTTTTAGAAATCCATGCTCTTCTCGTGTATATCTTTCCTCTTTCCCCTTTTATTTAAATAAAAACCATTTAAGACAGTTTTTTATTTAAATCAAATTGCATATGCCATGTGCAATCTGCTGTCAGAAGAAATATTAAGTATTGGACTAGTACAATTAAATAACTTATCATTAGCCTTCAAGAAAATTAAGGTTTTAAATGCATATCCCACCAGTGTGGTGTGAAGGATGATGCAACAAGATGAAAATGCTTGCAAGGAGGATTTCATGTCTCCTCTGCTCTGCTCTGCTCTCCTCTCCTCATCATATTTGCATAATCTGCTACATTC